TGCGGGGGCTTTATTTTCACTTCATTCACAGATGTTTACTGAGCACCGCTATGTTCTGATGCACTTCCTAAGCTTGGCTTCCCAACAGGCATTTATGGAGTGCCAACTGTGTGCCACATACTTCGTGTAGGTCAGATTGCCACAGGTGTTCTCTTGGCCATCTAGGTGCCAAGAGCTGTGCCAGGTGCTCCATTTTTATTTAACACTGCACAGTAAACCTGGGAGGTAGGGTGACGGTACCATTTCCCAGATATAAAAACTGAGGCCTGGAGAGGAGAAGTCACTTACCCAGAGTCACGCCGATCTTTTTCAGTGGGCTGATTGGCAGTTGCATCCTAGCGTTTCCTGGTTTCAAAGCCCACACTCTTATTACTTCACCACATAGGCAAGAAATCCCTGGCGTTTCTTACTGAGGAAGTGGAAATCTTGGATGAAATGCCCATGGAGTGTGAAGCCCTCTTCCAGACAAGGCGGAGGTGGGGGGCAGGTATCAGTGAAGCAGGGGCTCTGCATGGGAGGGATTTTCAGTCTCCATGTGGAGCGGCCCTAGGCCATGAGTCTTTGTGTCTGCAAACCAGATGATGACTGCTTCTCAGCTGTGTGACTTTGAGCAAGTTACTATACCTCTCTGATCCTGTGTCACCATGCACAAATTAGAGATAACAGTATGTACCTGGTGAGGTTGTTGTGAAGGTTAATGAGTTGGCATATGTAACATGCTTAACACACAGTAAGTGTTCAATAAATGTAGGCTGTGCATGCTATGGTCTGGGTGCCAGGCACTGGCCAGGAGCAGCTTGGTGGTGACAAGAAGCCATCCCTGAACCCCAGCTCAGGGAGAGCCAGGGCTTATGTCTGTCTGAGGGTAAAAAGGGACAGGTCAAAGGGTGGGGTCAAAGGGTGGCAAGGGGTAGGGGCAGGGGTCCGCCTTAGAGTCCTGACTTTCTGTATATGTATGAATTTTCAGTTTTGACTTAAGCAATCATTTGTTGAGCTTCTCTTATGGATGGGGCTCCAAGCTGTTGCATGTTTATACCAGGATTTGAACCCAGGCCTTGCTGTCAACAGTATCTCTGCTCTTAACCTAAGCTGTGCTGGCTTTATGGAAGTCACTGGGAGGATCCCAAGCACATTCCAGAATGTCTCTGGCATGTCCTGGGGCAGTGGCTGGAGAAAGCAGGCTCAGAAAGCATCCTGTGGCTGGTCCACATTCTAACCTTCCTGGCTGTGGCTGCAACCCTAGAATGTCACAAATAGAAGGGTCCTTGAGGACCATTTAGTTCAGGGATCCAAAGTAGTTTCATCTCATGTGTCAGTTCCAATGAATCCTTGCTTTAGGATAACAGGTGTTAAGAAGGATTCTGAGGTTCTGTTCCCCCTCAGAAACAACATGCCTTAATCTAGTGATGCCTGTTGAGGGGGAAGAGGGGAATGGTAGCCTACATGCATGCCAGGTCTTTACCATCTCTCATTTAATGCAACCTCCTAACTTCAGAAAAAGGGAAACTGAATCTAAGATGGAATCAGATCGAATTTTCAATCTGGACTCTGTTACGTATCAGCTGTGGAAACTTGGGCAAGATTCTTCACCTCTCTGAGCTTCCATTTCCTCATCTATAATATGGGGATGTCAATACTGAACTCACAGAGATTTCGAAAAAATATAGTAAGACAATGTGTGTGAGGTAATGTGTGATTCTGTGTTGTAAAACATACATTATTTTTCAAATGACATGTAACCAGGACAGTCAACTATTCTGTCCAAGTCAAAGCGTGTTGGTTTCCATGATGTGTCTCTACACATTAGAATCGCCCAGGGAGCTTTAAAGTCCTGATGCCCAAGCCGCCCTGAGACTGTTT